GGGAATAGCTTCATCCTCTCGGTGAATGCGGTGGCATACTCGTCAATACTCATCTTCCCTTTCTTCAGGTTCTGAAACTCGTTGTTTAGGTCTATCAGATCTACCTCCGAGCAGTACTGCATTTTCAACTGTTCCAAAAACTCTTCCCACGATATCCTTAAGGCTTCTCCTCGTGGCATCGTATCTTCCAATAGCTTCCACCAGCTCAAGACTCCAGTTTTCAGTTGTCTTATTGCGAAGACAATCTTCTGTTTCTCGTTACAGCTGCAGCTCTCAAACACCATCTCCATCTCAGAGATCCAATCCATAATCTTAACCGGCTTCGGGCTTCCTGAGACGGTCGATGGTTTCGCACCCAAGAAATTCTTGTACATCCGCCCATCCTTGTTGTTTCTCCCTTCTGAGCCATCCCTTTGCTCACCTTAAGTCCCTACTTGACTCACTTGGCGGCTGTAGTTCCCTTCCTCAGATTGCTTGGGAACTGGCTCTGTCGGTTCAACATGTACGGTAGGTTCATCCCTATTCAACATCTATCTCATTTCTACCCTTTGTTCAGCTAACATAGCCCGAATCATGGCTTGAACTCCAGCCATGGTGACTGGCTCAAGCGCAACTTCTTCAACAACAGGTATTTGCTGAACCACTGGGGGTTGGTTCCTGTTCCCATTTGTGTTTACGTTTCCGCTACGGGTCCTTACCATCTCGATCTATACACTAAATAAGGTGAATTTCGACCTTTACTTGACGTTTAAATCACCCTTATCACTCCGAAACGTTTACATGCTAGTTCTAATACCGTAGTCGTACGTTTAGAATCCTAAACACATAAGGTTTCCAGATCCGGTCGGCAACAGACCATAGATCCGAACAATTAACAACATGTCATGCACAAAGCATTTAGCACATAAAAGCAATTTAGGCATCATTCCTAAAATAAGCTAGTTCTCACACCTCACAATCATCGCTTAACATTCTAAGTTTAAGTCTAGAAATAAATCCATATTCCTAGTTCGCTTAAACTAATGCTCTGATACCAACTGTGACATCCCCAAAATCACGGACAGAAAAGACCGATTTTTGTTTATGCTTTATAAAAATCAGAGTACTTCATTTTATAAAAAGGTTGCGGTATTTGTTCCCAGAAAAACATGGTAAATACGTTATTAAAACAATTTCGAAGAAACGTATTTATTTCATTTTAAAACGTTTGGGATGTCATCGTTAATACCGAAACATAAGCATAAACAGAACTTACAATGATTTACACTAGTGATCTACATCTCCTTAAATCTCTCAGTGTAATGTCACTTCACTTCATCACCTGTGATATACATAAACTGAGTGGGTCAGGTTGGGAAACCTGGTGAGTACATAGGGTTTTCAACCCACAATAATATAATTGTTATGTTCAATCATCAAACACTTAACCCCATTACCCATCCCCGTTATCTTCTTTACTCTTAAGAATTTAACCTAAGAGTCATCTATCCTGCACTCGTTTATTCCGAAGTCCCTTACTTCCAGAGTTATAGGACTGACACTAAATCCATAGCTGCCGATGTTCGTTCATAAAGCACTAATTCCATAGCTGCTATAGTCTATTAATCGGGTACTAAATCCATAGCTACCAGTCTTTATCTAATAGGTACTAAGTCCATAGCTACCCATGTTCAACAGGTACTACGTCCGTAGCTACCAATCCCCAACAGGTACTAAATCCATAGCTACCAACGTCTAACAGGTACTAAGTCCACAGCTACCGGTGTTTGTCCCATAGGTACTAAGTCTATAGCTGCCAATGTATACTCACGTCATCCTCTATCTCTCATCATTCATCTACCCATCATCATACCCAACATATTCGTATATAAAATACGTTAAATAGTTTAAATCCTTTAAAACATGTATAAGACGTTCATCCAACATAGACAGCAAGTATTAAGATAATATGCACACATAGCACGTAGTTTATATAAAATACTTCATATCTATGTGTAAGATGAAAGGGACTATGCACTCACCTGAGTAGGTGGTGACCCAGCACTCGAACAACGCTTCGATACTCTCAAAACGATATTCCTTCGATAAAACCTAGTACCAATACCACTAGGGTTTAGTCTAACGATAACCGCGACAAATTAATTAGTCTGACTATTATTAAGCGTTTATAACGCTCCATAAAACCCATAATAATAGCCAAAATAATTATTTTAAGGACCTAATAACATTCCTATAATTATTTGAAAGCTATATTAAAAACTGCGTAAGTGTAGCACACTTACAACGAATTTTATCGAAAACCGGAACTTAATTGGAGCAGCGTTTCGAAACCGAAAAACTCTTTTTCTCGGGACTCCGGGAGCCTCGGGGCTTCCCTCGGGGCTAGGGGTTTTATCTAGGGCTTAGGGGTGTTTAGAGGTGCTAGAGAGAGAAAGTAGTGAGAGAAAGAAGAGGTTTTGGGGTGAAGAGAAATGGCAACCTCGCACCTCAATTTATAGGGTCAGGCTTCGGAAATTACGTTGGGCGTACTCCTCGGGTATGGATGCCAGCTGAAGCCAGCTGTCTCGCACTCACCGGATGGATCAGACCGAAGTTACGCGGGGCGTAGCTTCTTCATACGCGGGGCATAAAGCAATGCTACGTGGCGTGATCCGAAGCGAAGACCGTGTTCAGCAAGCAACGAACCTGATCGAGCCACGTCATCATTCCGCAACAGATTTCGCAAATTCATACTCCGACTTCTAAAAATCATAATTTTCGCATACGAGGTCCGTTTTCAACGTTGTTTATATCCACGAGAAGGTGGAAACGTACTCTACAACTTTCGTTTAGACTTTGTCGGCTAATTTTGACTCGATTTTAAATTTTATATTATTAACAGACCAGGACAAGATTAGTCCGTTAAATCCTCATAACTTCTTCATCCGACGTCCGTTTTTGCCCATCTTTTTCTCGTTACGCTACTCGTATCGAGATCTTCGATTCTCTTTTAGGTCGTGTCGGCTAAAAATCACTCGATCTAATATTCGAATTTCGGGCTGTACACTGCTAATCCGAAACTTCGAAAAATCATAACTTCTTCATACGAAGTCAGATTTGGGCGTTCTTTTTATCGATGTTCTTAGTTTAACATATTCTACCACTTTTTTTTAGATCTCTAAGGCTACATATCGCTCTATCGTAAATTCACTATTTACGCTTTCCGGTATCGTGCCGGTTCTGACGCAAAACTTCGACGGGTCATAACTTCTCCGTTATAACTCGGATTTCGGCGTTCTTTATATGCATGAAAACCTTGTAACATACTCTAAAATTTGGTTAAGATTATTTATTCTAAATACTATTTTGTTGAAAAGTCGTTTTCGACCCCTATTGCCTCTAATTTGAGTAGCCCGGATCTACGGGCGTTACAGCGTGGGAGGTGTACCAGATGTTAGGGACGACAACTTTGCACTCGTTGATGACATAGGGAGAAGATATGTTGACAGGTGAAGGGGAGGGGGACCGGAGGGGAGATGTGAAGGGGGAGATTATTAACGATAGAAGGCTTTTGTAGAGGACATCGATGATGTTGAAGGGTTTTTTATGAAGGTTGTAAACAAAGGAAGGGAAAATGAATATGGTGGGTGGGTGGGCCTTTTCTTATTCTTAATTAATTAAAAACAATTGAAGAATATATATATATATATATATATATATATATATATATATATAGAGAGAGAGAGAGAGAGAGTTTTATTTTTCTGGTTAAGTCACACCTCCTTTTTTTCCTAAAAATACATTGTGTTTTTCATTTTTTTCAATTTAACTCTTTTAGGAGGTCTATTGGTAATCGTCCGGTTTATATATATATATATATATATATATATATATATATATATATATATATATATATATATATATATATATTGGGAAAAGATCAAATGAGAACGCCTAAAAGGTTGAGAACGCGAGAACAAATCTGGTACATTAAGTATTTATAATCTAAGGATGTCATTAATCATTAATTTAAACAAAATATTAAATGAATTTAATTTTTTTTAATTAAATAAAATATAAAAGGGTATTCAAGTAATTTTATGATGTCATCCATTTTGAATATATCATGTAAGTTTGAAAATTAAAAGAAACCGTTGCTATGTTTTAGTAATCACAACCAACTTCTAATCTTTTGGATGATTCGATCTTATCTTGAATGCAAAATATCATCACAGCTAAACGTTTATATGAGACTCGATTAATACGGTTCATCCGCAAAGAGGTATTTTGCATTCAGAACTCCATGAAGGGTTGAAGGTGGAGAAATGTCGTCGATGATCAACCGAAGTTGAAGAAGTAAGCTTTCTAATCTTTTTTGAATGTCGATTGACTGGAAAACAGGTGTAGTAGTGTGTTTATTTTTTGTTAATGTGTACATTTTAACGATTCTTAAAACCCTAGAAGTTGGGTTTTTCGTTTTTTCTTTATATCATCGATTGAACTGTAGTGATTCTTCATCGTTGATGATTGTTGATTTAAAGGTTGTTTTTTACAAATAACACGTTGGTGTATGTGAATGTTTAAATGAAAGTGGTAATTGTAGATGAGTTTCAAAGTTACGGTATTCTGATATTGAATGTGTTTAAAAATTAATCGTTTATGATTGTGTTTGAAAGTTCTAAGATGCATATACATGTGTAATCGTAGTCGACTACTTTGAACTGAAGTAAGGTTACGAAAACCCAAAAATTAGGGCTTTTTTTACTTTTGTTTTAAGAGTCGTATTGTTGATCAATGGCAAAATAAATACATTATAAGTAGGACAAGAGGAGTAATTGATGTTAGTATTCGATTGTGAATGGTGTTTGGTAGAAAAATAATAATGAAGGGTATAAATGTCATTCATTACTATTGATTACTTGTAAAATCCGATTGTTTGTGCGACAGAAGTACTTTTCAAGTATTAATCCTTGTTGTTGGTTGTAAATTATGTATATTGTTAAAGTCATATTCAGTTGCGAATGGGTACTTTATTGAGTATGTATGTGGTTTTGATCTTGTACATGATGTACTAAGTAAAGAATAATGGTGTAGGAGTCCGTACTGTTTTTTGTGAGTAAGTTAATTACACTGTTTGTTTATTGATGATTATTGTAAACATTCCTCTGTTTTTGGGTATGTGTTTAATTGTGTTTGTGTTTAGTTGGTATAATTTATGATTATTTGAGTTGTTAATGATTCAATTCTGAGTTATAAATGATTAATGTATTTTAATTCTACTATTAGGTAGAAAGAAAAGCGAGAGGATATTACTAAAGACCGCATTCAGCAAATTCACTAATGAAGAATCCAATCCATTGCTTATTGATATTGAAGATGAAGACAATGAAGGAAACGAAATAGTACAACCTCGGATTAGAAGAGAAGGAAAAAAGAAGTGTTCAACACCTAAGAAGAAAACTAAAAAACAAAATGGTGGTGATGATGATTATATGAAATTTAAAATGTTAAATATCAATTGGAATCTATAGTGATTATGTGTCTTATTTTTTGGACAGGTGGGGGGAACGTGTTAATCACACACCAGCTCATTCAATGCGAAGGTATCTTAAAGTTGTAGTTTTGAGCTCAGATTCAAGTAATGTACTTGTTTAAAAATAAATTTATTTAGAGTTTGATGTTGTAGTTAGTTTTAATAACTTGTGTTGTTTTGTATTTATTAATAGAAAAGAATATGAAACCCAAAGTCAATGTGAAGAAGTTTTATGGAGGAAATTCAAGGTTTTCAAAATCTAAAAAAAATATACAGAAACAAAAAGGTATCAATGATGATTTCATGTAATGTAAGTTGTATATTAAAGTATCTTCAGTTATGATTATGTTGTCTACTTATTGGTAGGTTTGATTGAAAGTTATGACATGACAGAAGATAGTGGAATAAATAGGGAAAATGAATTGAGAACAAAAAGACGGTTTGATAGATGTAAAATAAAAGGTGATGAAGTTGTTGTTATAAACTCATGTTCAGGTAGTGTTTTTTTAATAAATTTAGTATAGTATTATTTTGGTAATTTATTTATAATCATTTATTATGCTAAATATGTCTTAACAGGAAAAGATAATGTTACTGTCAAGAAGCTTGATGAAGATGAAGACTCTGATTTTGAAGATGACAAACCTGTGGTAACAAGGAAAAAGAGAAGGCATTATACTTCATTAAAAACTGATGACAAAGAAAATGTGAAGAAATTTAAAAGACAAAAGAATAAAGAAGGAAATGTAGTGAAGGAAAAAAAACTGCCTAAAGTTGTAGCAAGTGATGCAGAAGAAGCAAGGCGAATACAAGTACGAACATCTCCAAATGTTTTGTACAGTTGTATGCATAACCTTAGCAAGGAACAGGAAGCTTATATTTCTTCTATTTGTCTGGGGAATTTGTTGAATATGAAAGTGGATGGGTGTGCATCAATTATGGGGCATTATATTGTAAGGAATTTTGATGCAGATAGGATGGTACTCAAACTTCATCATGGAGAGATACCAATCAATCGGCAAGTTATTCACGAAATGTTGGGTCTGCCTCTCGGACATGTTACAATAAAGTCCATGCCTTATAGAGAAGTCACAGACGACACGATAACTGTTTGGAGTGAACAATTCGAAGATGAAGATAATATTATACCAAGGGCAGTTCAACAAGTTATTATGCAATCAACACGTGTGGATTTAATCTTTAAAGTAAAAATCTTTGTCCTGCTGTGTAACACACTAGGTCAGTCGATGAGCATGGGAACATGTGACCTGTCCATGTTATCAAAAGTTACGAAAGACCTGGATCTAAGTGACATTGATTGGTGTGGATATGTTTTTGATTGCCTTAAGGAGACAAAAAAGTGCATGGAATCCAAACAACAAAAAAGGATTCTATGTTGGGCCAATTATATTACTGCTGGTAAGATTTGTTTTAAATTTAGTTGTCATTCAATATTGGTAGACTTATGTGTGCATATTCATTAAAGTGTATTTAAGTAATACATTTTTTATTTGTCTTTGTTGTAGTTGCTATACGTAGAAAGTGTTCGATGCGATTCAGTGAAGATTGTACGATGCAGAACAACAATATGTTGTTGGAATGTTGATAAACTACGTGAGCGAGAAAGAGTAGAGTGTAGGACAATTGGTCTGGGTATGGGTGAATCGCAAGATCCATTTAAAGTCATCAATGAAGCATTGGGAACTAGTAATGTAGGGCAAGAAAAAGTTCAGGTAGTATTTTATTGTGTTGAATAATGCATATGAAATTTATTATTTGTTATTTTAGTATAATCTAAATTAATTATATTCATACATTATTGACAGGGAAATGATGTAGGAGGTGTAAGGTATTAATATAATATAATCATTACTAAATAATAAGTTATTAGTACAACAACTAATATTGTATTATTTTTCGTAGGGAAATCAAGGATATGAGATTTTTAGTGGAAGTGGGGAAAGTGTTGAGGTAGTTTACTACCTATTCACATTTGAATAATGAGTTACTATAGTATTAATTAATACTAATTGACATATTAATGTTTTTATTTGGTTTGTAACGTAATTCTATTGTGGTGACCTAATTAGACAACTATTTCAACAATAAAGGAGATGTACGACATGATATTGCAGCAAAAGAAAGTGTTGGAAGACAAAATAAATGATGCTGTCAAGAAATATCCTGAGAATCAGTTGGTCAAAGAATGGGAAAACAAAGTAAATGATTTGTTTAGTGAAGTTTCCACATCAGAGGAACCAGAACAATCTCAATGGTGGTATGATAACGAGGCTGAAATTGAACGTACGCTGATTCTAGCTACAACTCACAAACAGTTTGACAACTCCCCGATAGAAAAATGTAGTATTCAAATGCCACAGGAATATGCAGACTTCGCGAATAGATATGGGTTAGTAGAAGAGGGTACAGGCCTCGCATGAAATTAGAATATCTAAAATCTCCTTACATTATACGGGCTGTTGATATCATCAAAGGAGTTCCACGGTAGGAAAAACGTGTAGCAGAATGGATATTCTCTCTCCAGGGAGAGCCAAAGTAAGTTGTATTTAAAATATTTTTAAAATTACTTAATTTTGTTGGTTTCTTATTAAAAATAGTATTAATTGGTCACGTCTTTTGCAGTGATATAGTTTTCCACACTTTGGATGGGTTTTCTGCTCAGAGGTTTCACATGGAAAGTTTTTTTCCAACATGTGAACTATTTGGTCATGGCATTGATTGTTGGAGTCAAGTGTTGAATCTTGATGAAAGTAAGCGTGCACCTGAATCGCCTCTGAGAGTTTATTGCAAGACAAATGTGACGGTATAATTTAATATTGTTCAATGTTGATTATACTATTTTTTAAATACAACATATAAATAAGTTAATGAGTTTTTAAAAATGGATCATAGAATTCATATCTTGAAAGTGATTTAACAGAAAGTCAACATAAAGATAAATTCATTGAGAATCTGGTGCTTTCTATTGAAGATATGGATGCAAGCCTACGTTTTGTTGGATTGGTAAGAGATATATCTCCACAGTTTACTTATGTGTTTATTTATCATTGATCAAATATGAATATTAAATAAAGTGAATACAATTGTAATGAATAAATGTTGCAGCTTTTCCTACCAGTCATCCGTTCCTTCCACATTTTCCTTTTTGTGATCAATCTACAACACCCAGAGTTTGTAATCATTGACAACAACAAAGTTGATGATCCTGATGGTGAGAGATATGGTCAGTTGCCCCAAATCATTGTAAGTGATTAATAAAAATTACTTTACATAGTTAATAAAATTTCATATGTGTTGACAATGTTTTTTACATTTTTAGAAAGAGTACATAGTTGATTACTTAAAATCTCAGAATCATCCAAAAGCTGAGATGTTTTCACATGTGATGCCACATAGACTAGAAATGACTTGGAGAACAATAAACAACATCATTGATTGTGGTGTGTTTACGATGCATCACATGGAAACATATATGGGTGGCAGTATGAATGAGTTTAAAGCTAGGTTCAAGAACGAGTCTTCTGCACAAGATGATCAACTTGTTAAACTGAGGACAAAGTATTTATACAAAATCATTACTCATGAATATAATGTGCGAAAGGATTATGTGCTGCAAAAGGTTGATGAATTCCACAAGATTCCTTCAAGACAACGTTCTCAACTGTTGGCCATTGCAAAGGAAGAAATTCACAGGAGATTGCATGATTTAAGTTAATTCTGTTAAAAAAGTTATTTTAGTTATGACTTCAATGGTTTCTTTTGGATAGTTTTAGAACAATGGTTTTGTATGCTAAGGATATTAACTTGGGTTGCTGAACGTACAATAGTTACTTTTGGTTTGCTAATTTTAGTAATGGATTAGTGATATTTTAGTAGTTATAATTTTACATTAACATTTGAAAAATTAAGTTATGTTAAAAAATGATGATTAACATTGATGGTATAGTTTTAGTGTATATTCAGGAATGATTCTTACTAACAAACATTTGTTAATATGCTATGTTACTATGACCATACAATCAGAATTTTTAATAATTAAAGTGAATATATCTATATTATATAATGATTGTTGTTGGGTTTATATCTTAAAGTATGTTGTTATTCAAATATTGAATAATAGCATAAATACTTGAATTATTCCTAACATATTCTACTTTAAATGAAAATTGTTTTAACTTAACAGAAGAGTATTTAACAATTTTCATATCATCAATATGTTGAAAATAATTAATGTATTTATGATGTTATTCATTATTGACTATAATTAAGGGTTTAAAGTCGACCATGGTTAAACTTATGACTAAAATTTACCCAAAAGCAAATGTAAATCAATATATGATGTATAGGTGTTTTAAAAGTTAATCGTACAAACATTTGTTATTAAGATATACTACTAACAACATACAATAAACTATGAATACCGCTTGAATTGTATATGACTATAGTATATAGTGATTAATGGTTTTATAATTTCAAGAAAGGAAAAGTATATCTATTCTAAGTGCGAATTGTTTTAATCAAATAACAGAGGTTTAAATGCCAGATAATATCATTAATCTGTTAGGATTACCAAATTTGGCATTGCTATTATTCATCGTTGAATAAAACAAAACGTTAAAAATAATGAAAGTGTTTTAAGATAACATAACATACTAAATCATAGAAACATATTCTTATTCATAAATCTAATAGAGAAGTAAAATCTATTGGGAAAATGAATGGACCATTTTAAGCTGGTTTTGACTCTCGTGCATGTCTTACTTTGCAAGTCCTCCAATTATGGTTAACATATTGATTGCAACCTGTGCACATTCTGTTTTTTTTCTTTGCAGCTGCAACGACTTTCTCAATAGCACTAACCATTCTTTTCTTAGTTCCACTACCTTTGGTACGTATAGATGCAGGTGGATGGATATTTATTTCATCAGGAATTCTGCGTATTCCAAGCATCCGAATAATTTATTCTTCATTGTTATCAGGTGATGTTTGGTTTGAACTGCTAAACTCCATTGCTGCCTGCTTCAACGTATGTGTTTTTTCAACAAATTCCAACAATTTCTCATTGCTTCTTTTGAAATGATCCAAGCAGTATTCAATATTGTTGTATGCCTCTGTTAGAAGTTTAAAGGTGTCATCTTCTGTTTCCATGGCAACATGTTTCTGATGGGTTTTGATCATAAGAACATCCTATGTGCTTATACAAACCCTAATGCTTGGATCTAGGTTTCTCTATTGTACATGCAATTCATCTAATATGATAATCCATATTAACATAATAATGGGTTTAATATATTACCTTGATTTTTATGTAGCAATAACAATCACAATTCCTTCTTGTAATGACTTTAGAAAGCTTAGAGTCACAAATATCACTCCTCTAATGGTTCACAAACACCAAGAGCAAGAGGATGAAGAAGAGAAGAGAAAGAAGCTGCCTAAAATCGTCCAAAACCCTAGAGAACAAGTTCACCACGTTTTTGGGGATTAAGGGTACTATTTATACATGTAGGCTATTAGGGTTTTAAACTAGGAAACCCTAATCTGACTGCTTAAGCCATAAGCAGCCCATAGATTCCTTTCTTAAAGGCCTTGGACGATCTTCAATGGGTTTCCCCATAGAATTTGTCCAACCTTATAATATAAGGTAATCCATAGCCCAATTTCAATTATCTTATAATTACAATTCCAGTCCCTTAAGTTTAATTAATCTCTTTTAGCCACAAAATTAATTATCAATTAATTCTTGACTAATATTAATTAAACAATATGATTTCTCCTTTAGTCTATTATTCCCATAATATATTAATAAATCATATTTAATCCTTTCTCTCCATAATTCATTCTATCAAGTTGCTTTGGTGAAGGCAACCCAAAAGGACCATGCATCATCGGGTCAAGTTCATACCAAAATAGTTATGGACTTAGACACTAATCTAACAGTCTCTCACTTGGATAAGTCTAATAACTATTCCGCGTATGACTTCAGATCCTGATCTGCAATCGTAGCTTTCCAAAGCCGTTGTCAACTCTGATCCTATCATATACGCGTGTCCTTTAGATAAGGGATCATATATTCCTCCATTCTAGATATCGTATAAGACATGATTTCTAATCATTCTCTCCGTACCATTTCTCGACTTCCGATTTATGACAACTGACTAGTTGAACAAATCAAATTAGCCCAAGCCCGGCCGAGCATTTACGTTTATCATCACTAAATCATCGAGGGGCCCAAAGATATCGCTTTTATCCTTCTTTGGATAAAAGGAACGGATAAAATTTGATTCAATGCTCGCTTGCACTCACTCATCGAATCACACACAACAATATGTTTTATGACACCAAGTTACTGGTGCGTTTACATATTATCAATGTGCAACCGACTCGCAAGATACAACTCATACATCTCGGTTTCAAGAATATAAGATGTTATCGTCTCACCAATCACTCGTGATAAAATCCATGAAGTGATCCAAGTGAGCGTGGGTTTACTCCAATGCTCAAATCATATTCATAAGCACTCATGAACATTGCAGCAAACATTTGCTTATGTCTAATGCTCTTTAGGCAATCCACACACCAATTCACGACAGTCTTCATTCATACCTACTTCCAACATATGAACGACTGTGGCCCATTCGAATAATTTGAATGTTCTAAACCAATTAAATTATTCAGGAAGTCAAAACATGCAAAGTGAAACACAAGAATAATACTACTCCATGGCCTCAAACCTTTTGAGTATAAATAAAACACCTTTTATTTATCACCATATTGATTACTCAATATTTGTTGTTTCGGGTAATCAACTTCTTACTTGAATTACAACACTTGTCCTATGCTCTCAGCATGCACACAATGTTTACCTATGGTTCTTACTTTGTGAAGTAGATCAAATGAACACATTTCCAATCATACTCATTTCACAACTCCTAATCCTTTCCACAAGTGATAGAATATCAAATTCTTGCCACTTATAGAATATGTTAGATTCCAACATTTTATGCAATGATCCTTTCGTAATGTCATTGCACTAAAGTCACAATGACTATTGGCAATGAAATTACAAAGTCCTCTATTGGAGATTGTTACAAGACAATTCCATAGATGTGATGTCTGTCACTCAAAGTACATTTCTTTGAACATCCTTTTGCATAAAGTTTCTAATCTAGACATAGATTCTCAATATCTAACTCCCAATATGGAATCCTTTCCATACTTACCATATAACAACTTTTTCTTAATAGAATCTTATCTATGTCGATATACTCCATCCAATACTATACTTCAAACTACTCACAAGCGACTAATCCTCGACGAACTTTGGATTGTCCTTTGATAGTTGTTTAATTATCTTAGTTAAAACCGATTCTTGTCCTTTTTCCCTCTAAATGCGCTAGACATTTGGAAAAAATTTAGAATGGTCAAGTATTATGGCATTTGGAATCGATCCTATACCCGAAGCGTATGGGATACGATACGATACTTTATCAATCTTTTGCCATAATATTTTATGTGTCACGTTCTCACAATTTGAACTATGAAGAGGGATGCCACAATCATAATTGAAATTTTGAGAACGCACTATGTACTCTTGACTAAATTTATTAACATTTCAAAACCTAAGCCTTTAGTTTTGAAAATGCAGCATATTATTCTCTCCCTTAATTATAGCAAAACAACTATTCAACCCTTACAACTTGCAAAGTATGACTCTTGTTTTCTATAATTAATATTGTTAACTTGCAATACTTGCCTTAATAATCATACAATCATAACATTTATGCTCCCACTATCATGATGATTATTATAAGCATAACACTTATGCTCCCACTAGCTTTGACATGTATTCAGAAAACAGCTTAACTTCCAGAAAACAATACTTATTGAATTTCTTAAGTTCATGTTTCTAATACTTAATGCTTTGATAATCTTTTATCAAGACTTCTTAATCTCATACACCTTTGTCTAAGATAACTCATATGTGTGTCTAAACAATTAAGATTAATTGCCAAATCTCACAATTCGAATCATGGAAAGGGATACCGTAACCATAATTGAATTCGAGAATACAATTTTGCAATTGATGTCTTCTTAAAATCTCTCTTAGTGAAAGCATTTCCTCACAGTCATTTTCATGAAGGAGGGAATCTTATGACACTTAGATTTAATGGTGTATGTGTGTGTGTGTGTTCATATCCATGTGAATTTGTTAAAAACAAAGTTTGTGACAAATCCAAACTCATATGGACCGAACATTCTCAATCTTGATTTCTTGCCTTATGGTAACACGGCTGCCCACCATGTCTTCCAAGCAGTTAAGCAGCTCACCCTTTCCTGTCAATGTACTTTTCATTGATTAAGGTCCTTGCCTTTTATGCATTCAAATGAGAACTCATAGAACTCACATGCATAATTAACTCAATTGGAATGGCACAGAAACAAAATAACGTCAACACGATAGGTTATAAACCTCAGGTCGTGTTCTAGTGATGTTAGATAAGGTTTATTTTTATTTGTTCTTGAAACCTTTCATGACAATTAAGACTCCCACTGACTCCTTGACATATAAGATTCTCTTGTCAATAAACATTTCTTGACAAATTGTAACACCCAAAGTTTTAAAGGCCAAGAAAGGAAAGAAATCCCTAATTTTGAGGGTCGACTCGGCGAGTCCAAGGAGGGACTCGGCGAGTCCGAGCGGGATCCGGGTCAAGGTGTAAGTGGCCAACTCGGCGAGTCGGCCAAGTGGACTCAGCGAGTCCAGTCTGTGCGAGGAAAACCCTAAATCCGGGACTTTGGGCGCTATTTAACCTTCTTATTCTCTCCATTAGGGTTCCTTATAGCATCCCTCGTTCAGAAAG